GCCCCCCACCTCCCCGCCCCAATACCCTGTCTAGCAAGGAGCAGATGCTCAATTCATGTGTGGGGGCAAAAATGAGCCGGTGAGCAGGGGCTTTCATTTATGATGGTTTCATTTCTCCTACAGTCGTGAATAAGCCAAGCAAATCCAGGTATATAGCTTTTAACGTTACACAACAACAGACTAAAAAGGATAAGGGAATCCAAAACTTAATATTGGATGTTTTTCTCTATCTTTTCTTTTATTGTGGCAAAATACAGAAAACAAAAAATGTGCCATGTGAACCTTTTGTAAGCATAAACTTCAGTGGCATTAGTTACATTCCCCATGTTGTACAACCATCACCACTATTTATTTCCCGAATATTTCATCCCCCCAAACAGGAACGCTGTGTGTACTGGTTAAGCAGTAACTTTCCATTTCCCCCTTGCTCCAGCTCCAAGTACCACGGATCTCCTTTTGTCTCTATGCATTTGCCTATTCTAGATAGATGGATAGTGCCACGTCACAATACTTGGGCTCGTGTGTCTGCCTTATTTCACTCAGCATAATGCTTTCAAGGTTCACCCATGTGCTATGTATCAGGATTTCACAGCACAAGGTGGAGGGTTTCCCCATTCGTTTGACCAAATAGCAAACTCTTACTCCTGAAACCGATAAACAGCGATAAATGCGTGACCTACGTCATTCATAAACCTAGAAGCTAAAAGCTCGTTCAACTTCCTAAGTAAAGGAAGACCATTTGAAAACCTCCAACAAAACACAAAGATGAGTCTCCAGGTCCCCCGTCTAGAACAGGAGCACAGAGGTGCTTTACGCCGTGCCCCCCAGCCCACCCCGGCCCTCGGCTACTTGGCATGCTGACCGCCCTCTTCAAGCACAGAGTGAGGGTCCGCCTCCTGCCCTAGGGGGCAGGAGAAGACGCTGGACGTGGCCCCGGAACAGATACAACCCACAGCCCTTGTGCGAGCTCTGGCTGTGACTGGGGCTCGGCCTCTCTCTTCCTCTTCCCTCAGAGCCTCTGCATACTGGGATGGGAAGGAACTCGGGTCAGTGCCACTGACCTTGGCCAGAAACTCGAGGACTTTCATCTTGCTGGTTTCCACGTGGGCCCTCGGGCCCCACTGCAATTCCGAGCAGCCAGGAAGGCTGCCGGGCCCCCGCCGGTATTCCAGGTACTTCTCCTGCACCCAGTCTTTGGTGAGGAGCCTCCGGGGCTCACCGTAGATGAAGTGCTCCTGCCCAGCATACACGCCTATCATGCCCAGAGCTTCCCAGATCTTCTCCTCACGGGCGCAGTTGCCCTCCAGGAAGATCACGCCCAGGACCAGGATCAGGAGGCTGGTCTTGGGTGCGCTCGGGGCACCACTCGGCGACATCCCGTCGTAGGTGAGGCCCAGGGTGGGGACCGTGACGTAGGAGTGGCTGCTGGGGTCCACTTGCTTCACGTCGATGCCAAAGATGAGCTGCAGGACCTCCGAGGCCCTCTTGAAGATCACGGGGAAGTGTCTCTTGTGCTTTCTGATGACCAGAGCCAGGATTTCTGCCTTCGTGGTGGTCTCCTTCCTTCGATTCTTCAGGAGCAGGAACTTCACCAAATGAATCACCTTCTGGCCCAGCCGGTTTCTGTACCAGGGCTCAGTGCCCGGCAGGGCCCGTAGGGCAACAGCCCCCTCCTCTACTAGGCCGCCAGCCCCCTCCCCTCCTGGGCCGCCGGCCCCCTCCCCTCCTGGGCCGCCGGCCCCCTCCGCTCCTGGGCCGCCGGCCCCCTCCCCTCCTGGGCCGCTGGCCCCCTCCGCTCCTGGGC